CGTGGCTCAGCCGTGGGTCCCAGGGCAGATGACGCAGGCCCGGGAACTACCGGGTCCAGGAGGAGAAGGCACAGTTCTTGCTCAGGTTGTCTGGGGATGAGGCCAGCGGAGCCAGGAGCCCAAAGGAGCTCAGCACTCACGAACGCTGAGCAAGGCTGGCAGGTGGCTGTTGGTGCCTCATGCCACCCATTTATCTAAAGGGATAAGATTCAAGGCCTGTCCTGCGGGCTGGGGCCGTCAAAGCTGATGAGAGAGGGGAACGTAAATTCTAACGGGGAGATGGCCGATGAACATGTGCAGGAAGAGATGGACAGAACCATCCAGAGAGATAGCGTGCTCTGAGGACAGCACGGCCTGGCCCGGGTACGGAGTGAAGCGGGGTCGGGGAGGCAGCGTGGTCCCTCGTATGGCCCGAGGAGGCCGTGTATAAACTGACCCTGAGCCACACAGTGGTATCCTCCTCTGCCCCTAGGAGGCTCTAGTGCAGGGTCCGGGGCAGGGAAGATCAGTGCAGCGTGGGTCCCAGAGCTTGGGCGCTAGGCTGTGCGGGCTCAGCGGGCAGCAGCCCCACGTCTCTGTGGTTCTAAAGCCCAGTCCCTTTCTCCTCAGCAGGGGAGACGCCCAGTTCCCCAGAGAACTTGCCCAGGGTCCCAGCCGGGGTGCTGGGAGGGCTCAGGGGTGGGAGAGGGACGTCCCAAGGCCGTGGGTTCTCCCTCTGTGGCTCGGGGTGCGGACACACACCACCCTGCCCCGTCCTGGCGAGTCTTCCGGGTTGGTCTGAGTGGGCACGTTTGGGTGGTGCAAACCCTGGGCACATCATGTGTCTTTTCTTCTCTGGCTGGCACTGAATTACTGCCCATAAGATGCCAGCAATGATGACACTCCCCCTCCTGGATGCAGGACTGGCTGCCACTGTGGGGAGGGGTGACCCGTGCCACGTGCTCCCAGGACACTGGCTAGGGGGCCATAAAGGACAGCCCTTGAGAGAAGCCGGCACAGACTTGTTCAGACTCCCAGTGGCCTGCCGAGGTCGTGAGTATAGAGCTCTGGAGATGAAGACCCTGCTCCTGGGTGTCACGCTCGGCCTGGCCGCTGCCCTGACCTTCGCCCTGGAGGAGGAGGATGTGAGCCGGGCTGGTGTGGGCGGGTGGAGGAGCCAGACCAACTCCTGGGCGGGGGGCAGCGCCAGGGGCCCTGCTTTAGGAGGTATCAGTCAATGCTGGGTTCTGACCCCGTGCTCCCAGCCAGGGGTCAGGGGGAGGGGTCCTGTTGTTCCTCCAGCAGACACGGCCCCTCCTGGGACCCGGAGCCGGAGCAGGCTCAGCTCAGGGGGTCCTGCTGCACTGACACCTGATCCCCGAAGGTCTCGCGGGGTTGGGCCCTGGGGAGGGAGGGCTCACCTGGTGCTGGGGCCCGGGGTCCATGGGGTGCAGACACGCTTTCCCTCCACCAGAGGCTGGGAGCCCTGGGGGGTGGGGAGGTAACGGCTGGCCCTAACCAACTCTAACTGAGCTCTAACGACGGTGCAGGAACCCAGCCGGCCTCTAGGGGTGGCAGCCGGGCAGCATGGCTGTCTGATTAGAGCTGCAGGCCTGAGTGCGGCAGTCAGGGTAGGCTCTGGGCCAGCCCATGGTGGGCTCACGGCCTCGGCCTGCTCCAGATCACAGGGATCTGGTATGTGAAGGCCGTGGTGACCGATAAGGACCTTCCGGAGGAGAAGAGGCCCAGGAAGGTGTCCCCAGTGACAGTGACAGCCCTGGACCGTGGGGACTTGGAAGCCACATTCACCTTTATGTGAGTGTTGCCCTCTGTGGGTCCCCTCGGGCCGCTTTCTCTCCCCTCCTGAGACCCACCGGTGCCCATCCCCCATCCATGTTTCGGGCGTTGGTAAGAATCACCCCCTGCCTTGGAGGGAAAGAGCCGGGGCATCCTAAAGCTTGGTGCGGGGCGCAGGAGGGGGCAGTGGAATTTTCAGGTCACTGGGTCACGACCATGCACCAGGTGAGCTGAGGGCGGCCCAAGTGTGTCCTGGGAGCTGCTGCCCGCGTGTCTCCTGTTTTCCAGGAGGAATGATCGGTGCTTCCAAAAGAAAATCCTGATGCGGAAAACGGAGGAGCTTGGCAAATTCAGCGCATGTGAGCCTCCCCCAGCCCCACTGCAGGCGGAAAGCACCTGGCTGCCTTTCTGCTAGGGTCCTGACTCTGCCCACCTATGAGGACTGGCTGGCCTCTCCTTCCTGGGGGTCTGGTGGCCCTGACTTCAGACACCAGTTGTGACAGGCTTGTCCACAGTGGAGATGGACCAGATCACACCTTCCCTCTGGGACACATTGAGGAAGCCAAGGGTTAGGGATCAAGGAAGCCAAGGGTTAGGTACAGGGAGGCTGAGGTTTACGGATGGGGAAGCTGAGGATTAGGGTTAGGGACAGAAGAGTAGGGCAGGGGCACTGCTGGGGCTGGGAAGGCCGGGCTATAGTCCTGGACGTGCTCTGGCCTCTGTGGCTCCATTGCTTGGGTTGGGACCTTCTCCGGAGGAAGCTCCTGCCTCAGTGTCGGGGTACACGCTGTGCAGAGCAGCCAGGCCCAGCTCAGACTGTCCGGGGCACCTGGGTGACCACTGAAACATTCCCGAGTGTTCCTTCATGTGGTCCTGAGTGCTTTCTCTGGGAATGAGGGCACTGAAGACCCACCTTCTCTGTCATCTACAGATGGGGGCAGGAAGCTCATATACCTGCAGGAGCTGCCCGGGACGGACCACTGCGTCTTTTACTGCAAAGACCAGCGCCATGGGGGTCTGTTCC